ATATACATAAGTATATTAGTAGATGTGAGAAAATTTTTATATTTCAAAACTAAATTTTAAAATCAATTTAATTATATTAAATTTATATCATAATTAAATATATATGTTTTCATAATTTGTAGTCCAACTTTGTAAAATATGACTAAAAAGTCAAAAGGGGAAAATTAGAAAATAATATATATCCAAAATATATTTGATCCGAAACCGAAATATATCCGAACCGAACTAGACCTGAAACCGAAATATATCCGACTCAAATTGTATCCGAACCGAAATCTATCCGAACCGATTTATAATCAAACCGTATCTGAACCGACTCGAAACCGAACCGAACCGAAAAATGTATAGAACCGAAATCAAATCTGAACCAAAATTTAACCGATCCGAACTGAACCGAACCGATTATAACATATAACCGAAAGATATCCGAACCGAAAAAATCCAACCCGAAACTGATCCGGTTGATCCGATTGCCACCTCTACTCTCGTGGGATTACCATTTCTCCACGGTCAGCAAGGCTTATACGAGGCATGTAAGCCTATATTTTTTTCTTTTTTTCCCTTTTATTTGTGAGAAAGAATTCCTCAAAAAAGAAAAACAAAAAAGGAAAAAAATGTTTTCTAGAAGGAAGTAGAACTACTTTTTACTCTATTTGTCTCTTAATAAATTATAATTTTTTTCACCCCTTGATAACTTTTGTTTACTTATTATTTTTATTGATTATTTAATTAAAAAAAATTTGTCACATCTTTTTTTGTAGAACTTTTGATGTAAATTTTAAATTTATAAGTTTTATATTTAATTCGTATACCAATTTTTAAATAAAATAATTTTTAAAAACAAAGAGTTTTGCATCGTAATTTTAAAATCATAATCTAATTTGAGATGAAGGAATAAATAAAAATATGGAGTAGATAACAAAAATATTTTTAATAATTAAAATATATTTAAAAAATTTATTTATTTGAAAATAGAAATATTTTCACGATAAAAATATATAAGTAAAATAATTTTAAATAATTCAAATATAGAAAAAATATGAAAAAAAGTGATGAAAACAATGACTTGTCACTGCAAGACATGCCACTCCACTCACGTGCCACTCGTTGACAGGACTATTTTTTATTGGTTGAAATACTCCACGTCAGCGTGTGGCATTCCATTTTTGCCTCACCATTGTTCATGCTCTAATGAACAAGTAAACACAATCTTAAAGAGTAGTAAGAGAACATTTCGATGAGTGCTTCCTTTTGAGTTACTCCGACCGCAAGAGTGAGACGGTGTCGGCCAAATCGCTTCAGCGGAATTGCCTTTTACTTAGGGCCAGTTTGGGAATAGCATTTTGGATTAGCGTTAGAGTTTTGGATAAAATTTTAACGGTGCAGATTAACTTTGAAAACGCTAGCGCTAAAGGCTACCCGTAGATAGCTTTTTTCAAATCGCTAACGCTAATCTCTAACGCTTTTCCCAAACGGGCCCTTAATTGCTTCCATTTACTATTTTCATTTATTACTCCTCCCATCCGGAAATATTCTTCTCACTTTCCTTTTTATTCCGTCCGGAAATATTCTTCCCATTTCCTTTTTAGTATACTTTTCAAGGATAAATTTCAATAATACTCTTCTATTTTATCACTAATATACTTTTTTACGTAGTACTCTTTTAATAAGAAAAGAAGATTTAAAAGTTTATAGTATGTGCATTTTTGAAAATTTTACATTTTTTTACTATTCCTTAATAAGCGTGTCAAGTCAATACTGGAAGAATATTTCCGGACGGAGGGAGTATTACTCATCTTTATAATGTCCCTATATAGTGGAATTGGGCCTTGGATTGCCTAATATTTTAAAGAAAATTTTCAGGTATCCATCACCTATTCGAATTTTATTAGAGTGTAATAACATCTTTATAAGGAAAATTGCATATAGGCACATACAAATATATGTATTGCACTATTGTATATTTTTTAAAAAAACGTATAGAATATTGAGACACAACATACCATAAAAAACAAGCAAAATATGACCAAATTACAATTGAATAAGGCTATTAAACGATCTACACTTTGTAGTTCAAGTTGACATTCAAAATTAAGACCAGATACAGAAATACCTGATAACCAATGTATGCGGGTACAAATATTAATTTTAAACATATTTGTATCCAAACTTAATACTCCATATTAGGTAGGAGCAAACGAATACGAACATAATAATGTCACATCTAATCTATTAAACATCCGTTTACACCCCTACATCGAACCTAGAATCAATTTTCACGCAACCAAGAAAACAAAATAATTAACTTGCAGTCCATAAGAATCAATAGTCCTCAGAAGTGTAAGGTAAATAATTACAAATGAAAATATCACAGCCAAACAATCTCTTAAAAGTTATGGGTACAAAGAAAAAAGCACATTTCGTGCCCTCAAGCTGCAAATTCAAAAGGTTACAGAAGATATTTGCTTATATTAAAAAAAAACACAAGGATTAACTAAAGGAAATTGTATCAAAATAGAAGTATAATAAACAGTGGGTGGAAAAGAATATAGTGTACATACATTGATTGATCATCAAGGACTCATATATATATATATATATATATATATATATATATATATATATATATATATATATATATATCATCAACGGCCCTTTGGGTTCATAATCTGTGAGAAGACGGCACTGGGTGTCAGCCCGTCTGAGTCCTCGCTGGCAACACTCCGGCCGCCTATACTCATTGATATGCCACTGCTTCTTGAATCAGTGGTCGTCACGCTTCCATCAAAGCCGATGGGGGGCGATGATGACACATCCTTTGCCTTGCCCATCATGACGCCGAACCCCTTCTCCTCCTCCTCCCCGTCAGTTTTCACAATACCCTTCCCACTCTCCTCTGCACTCTCTTGAAGTTGTAGTGCAAACTCAAGGTTCCAAAGCACATCTCCCATTGATGGCCTCTCTGTCCCCACATCGCACACGCACTTCACAGCCGTCTCCCCAAATTTCTTGAAGCACTCGGGTGCTATCTTGCCCTTCAAATAAGGGTCTGTGATCTGGTCAAGAATACCCTTGTTGTGGCAATGCACCGCCCATTCCGCTAGGCTCACCTGCTCCTTTGGTAGGGTAGGGTTCAAAGCTGGGCGTGCACACAATATCTCAAAAAGGACGACCCCAAATGAATAGACATCAGATTTTTCAGTGAGTTGCTGTCGTCTAAAGTATTCCGGATCCAGATACCCGAAACTGCCTTTCACCACTGTACTCACGTGGGTGTGATCCAAAGTGGGACCCGTTTTTGA